CCTGGATAGAATTGGATGCGGTATACGTGTAGCATCCACCCAAGGTCCTAGGCTCCCACTGGCTAAACTGGGTGAGGTTGGTGTTCTGCAAAGCCATGCACAAATCTGGCTTTTTGGATGCTGACAATACAGCGCTTCCACTCCACCACTAATATTCGAATATACAATAGCAATCTTATCTTTTTTCTCACGTGTAGTATAAAATTTGTAATAAGATACATAATGCAATTATAATGAAATATTGTGCGATTATTTTCATATAATTAAAATTAATATGTATTTATTTTTTAGAAAATACAAGGGAAGCAGTGCATCCACCGCTTCCAATGACAGCACGCCACTGTAGTACACATTTGTACAAGACCTCATCCATATAAAGGGGTGGGCATCTTTATACTTTAACCCCTATTTTTGAATACAATAGGCTGGTCTGCTAAAACAGGAAGTTTGAATTGCTCTACAGAATGAATCCGTCTTTGCTTACTGTGAGAAGAAAATCTATTCTATTCAAAATGGAAAATGTATTACAGTACCATTTTTCATTTTTTACATCAGAAAATGTAAAAAGCAACCATTATTAAAAATATGTTATTTCTTGAAGTGTTTGTGAAGTAATTTGCAGTTTAGTTTAATGAATTCTGGTAAAATTTTTATTTTATCATGTGAAAATTAACATTGTGACAATGGCATTTTGCCAGGTCAACAGCAAAATCTGCTTTATTGGTGTTTGTTTTAAGGTGAGTCAAATGTAATTTAATTAAATAGTTTGTCCTAACTTGTATACTAATGTTTATAAATATCAATATTAAAATAATGAATAAAATTAAAAAATAATTGGAATGTCATTTTCATTTCCTACTTAATGGCATAAAAGTTTATTTTAAAAAACATTAACAGCTGTTCCTCAATAATACTTTAGACGGGGTTATGTTAATTCATAATATTACATATTAAGATTATACACATACATACTGTAGATTGTGAAATTAACATAAACATGCCTTTCCTAACACACAGGATAATTAGAAAACAAATCTTTATAATGAAATAACTGAAAGAATTTAAATAATAAATAAAAACAAAAAATCAAACAGAAGCAAACAACAATAATTCAAACATTTTAATTTCATATCTTTACTTCCCTGGCCGTTATATATAACAGAGGGAAAGAATGGCAATCAGTCAAAAAAATACCCCCAGATTTTCACATTTTTTAATTCAGGGGAGCTTGAAATGTCAAGAAATGCAAAATAATTCAGGATTTTTTCTGTATGTATGGATGGATGGATGGATGTTAGTGTGTGTGTATGAAGGGAGCATGATTTTTTTTTGCCCTCTTTGAAGCTTAAAAACTCCTGTGTTTTTTGTCAAAAATTTCTGAAATTTTACAGATAAGTTTGTTTAGTAGGGAAATTGATGCTATTAAATTTTGGTCATTAAAGGTCGAGGGGTGGCGAGATAAAGGGGGACGTGCGTATCTTCAGTAGGGTCTGACTTAATGACAATTTCATTCGTTATTAGCATTCACAAATTTTTTATAAAACTTATCCGTACCCTCAAAATTAAGCTTTTTGCCACTTAATAATAGTTAAAAATATAAAAAGTTTTTCAGTTTTTCAATAAAATATCATAACATATGATGCCACCAAATGTCGCTGGGAAAGTTAAGCAACTCATTGCTGGATTTTTTACAACTTTTATTGTGACAAAAGTAAATAGAAAGATTTTTGATAAATTCTTTTTATGCATTTTAATTTATGTATGAAATGAACTTTGACAATTTTTAATTTCTTGTCGCACAAATATTTTTAAAAAAATTCTGAAATTTGTATTACAATGAATATTTGTAAAAGTCATTGATTATGAAGAATGTGTTTAAATGAAACATTTGTTTTTAATTTGTAAAATATGAGAATTATAAAAACTTCTATAGGAAAAGACATTTCCAAAAATACCAGAAAAAATCAAACTCGAAATAAAAAATAAAATCATAGGAAAAGACATTTCCAAAAATACCAGAAAAAATCAAACTCGAAATAAAAAATAAAATCAAGAATTCTTACAAAAATACCAGAAAAAGAGCAATTTATTACAGAAAGAAGATGATAACGCAATCTAATGTTCAAAATTTGTTTCAAAAATCTTTTTACTTTCGGCAAAGTTGTAATTTACTTCACTCGACAAATCAGTCTGCTGATTTAATGTTTGCAGTTCGACCACGTAGTAATTAGAGAACTGCTAGTAAATATGGAACAAATATTTCTAATACAATATATTTGAACGAAACAGAAATAATAAATTTTATAAATATATTATGTAAAAATTAAATAACTGAAATTTTACAAATGAAAAAAGGTAATGAATATAATATCCCAACATATTCATTCACAAACAGCCGTAACACAAATTTCAACCAAAAAATTTTTACTGCAATAAATAAATAAGAGAAAAACAGATTAAATTCTGTTACTTAGTTCACTCAAACATTCACATCCACAATGCATATTTTATTTCTACTCTCACTAAAATACTATTTTGTTTTTCCATAAATCTTAACAAAGTATCATTCTTTTTTTTTTGGTTATATTCATATTATGATAACAAACTTGTCGCAATAATTAATATTTTTTTATTGATGTAAAGTCAAAGATCAAACTAAGAAGACAGGTTTTAGAATTATCTTTTAATTAAAAACAGTAACATAAACTATGTTTTAAGCATTTAATCCGATGCCCCTATTGCAACATCACTTTCCTTTGGATTAGCTTACATAAATACTTAACCATTAATATACCAACCTCATAAAGTTTCTTCATTCTTTTTTTATTCCCTTTATTTATACTGCAATGGTTTTACTTTATTCTTGTACCTATAATTAAATTTAGTAGTTTTAAATTCCTATAAAATATAATTAAGTTTTGTAGTTTTGTATTTCAGTATTTGATAACAATTCATGTTCAGTTTTAATTTTTTTTTTCTGAAGTCTGACAGACAGACTATTGAAGAGCGCCTGTATTTATTCCATTAAATATTCTTATTAATATCAATTTTAATTTGTCAATATATATAAAATGATTATTGCTTACATATTAAATTTATTTTCACTGAATTTTTAAACATGTTATAACTAATAAATATACTTTAGCAATCTACTTCTCTTTCCTATCTTCAAAAATATAGAAATACAAGAATAAAAAAAATTATAATTACAATTCATATAATGCTCTTACTATGATTTAAATTATAGTAAAAGCATTAACTTATTTACCTATGATGGTAATTATAATATAAAATTATAACTACTCGGTTAATAATTTGCTATTATCTTCAAATAACATATTGACACTGACAGACATTAACATATAATGATTATAATTTTATATTATATTTATATAAATAAATATAATTTATTATTATATAATATACATTAAAATTATCATTTTTACAGACTGAGAAACAACAACTTTTCTGACGTTACTTTCACGACTATATAGAAATTAAATAAAGCAGTGAAAATAAATTTATTTATTTAAATTGGATCTGATACTCATTTACTTGACAGACTAAATGTTTATCACATTATTATTTAGAAGTTTTAATTAACGTCGTATTTAATTTTGTAATTTACCGAATAAATGCTTAATGTACAGTTTATACATGCGTATGTATCCAATAAAACAAATAATGAGCCTACGGATTGTGAAAGAATCAAATATAAAGCAGCTATTTGAAGATTTTCTTCATAAAAATCATTATCGAGTGGTTTAACGGTATAATTTCTAATGAGAAAAGGCACTAGAAGATGATAACGACAATATTGAAAGACACTACTTTAACAAATCCGTTAAGGTATATTTTTGTTTGTAGCAGATGTTGGACTGATGATGATAAAATCAAGTATTATAAATTTTATATTTTTTTTTATTTTAAACTTAAAGATATATTCTAGGAAAATTACAGAATTACAATGTTAATTCAATTTAAAATTTTACATTTTCAAAACCATCGGAAAATAACTATGTCTTAAGATACTATCAAAGTAATGAATATTAATATCAATATATTATTATTATTATTATTATAAATTATCATATCTGCATATTATTAAATGTTATATAACAATATATAACATTGTTACATATATAATAATATGTAATATACATTGTAGCATAGTGTTTAAGTCAATTGATCAAATTTTCTTTTGACGTGGTAATTAAAAATTAATATTTTGTTTAAGCAAATATGTCACTAAATAAGCAATTATAAAGATGCTAATTTTCAAATTTTAATAATTAATAATAGAAAATAAAGTTCATTAATTAATAGTAAAAAAAAAAATGAAATATAAATGATTCTAAATTTGATTTTACTAAATTTAACAAAATTTCTGTGTGAAATTATATCAGCATTAAATTTTAAATTTTGATAAGATTACGAAATAGTTATATTTATTTCCCTATTTCCTAAATGTAGTAAATAGAATAAATAATTTTCAAATTATAGGAATAAAATAGATTTCAACGTTTAAAATTTAATAAAATAGAACTTTTCAAGAATGAGGTAGGTATCATCTGTTGTTCACACAAGAGAATTCTCTCTCTTCATTATTGTGAAAAAATAATTTATATTTTTAAAATGAATTATATAAATTTATTTTAATCCAATTATTTGGATTGTTATCGATTTATCTTAGTAAAATTGTCTGGTAATTACTCGACGATTGTTACCGACGTTTCTAGATTATTGGTATTGAATGAAACAGCTATTCTATTATAGTATTAAGTAAATTTGATGTTTTATAGATTAGATAAAACTCTTGAACTGTAGCTTCAAACTAAGAAAAGAATTTGTAACATATTTCATTTGAATAATATTATAATTTGCTATGCATCAATTATTTTTGAATAATTGACTAAAATTACATTTATGGCATCTTAATCTTGTTCTGAATCTAACATTATTGTAAAAGAACAGTGACATTCCATCAGTACTGGACTTACCGCTTTTCCAGGCCTTGCCCATGACCACACATATCCTTCCTGACATGCTGTAACCACACATTCATCCCTAAACACCAATGCAGTCAATCGTTCATGAGCTATTTTCTTGCACACATGTGGTTCCAACATTGGTACTTCATCTAGCCGAGGACAAACACGAGTTCCGATTAGCTTGACAGGATCATCCAACATTTTATTTTGGATGGATTTGTTTAGGCTATTTTTGTCACTATTACGAGAAGCTAGACTGAAGTTCCTCTTGTGTTCTTTTTCATGCTTTTTTTCTTTCTCCAAACTAGAACTTTTGCTACCTAAACTCAGACTAGGTAATAAAGCATTACCATCTAATACTGGTCCTTCTTTTGGACAACAATTAGCTTGGGCATGTCCAACATTATTACACTTGCCAAGTGAAACTAAGTGACTGGAAGGGCTGTTCAGAAAAATACTAGTTCTAGTCCTTCCTAGTGGCTGTTTTAAAACATCTTCAGTTAAATCCCAAAGGCAAATTTGGGTATCTTGACTCACAGAACCAAACCTATATGATGTGATATTTAATGATCTGTTTTCAGTGAGTGAGTTCCTATTGCAAGTTGTGTTTTGTGAAGGTACCGTGCTGACGCTATTTGACCTACTCGATGTACTCATAGCTGCTCCTTTAGCAGAAGAGTCATTTGAAGTACCAGAAGCAAGTTGCTGTGCTAATTCTTCATCACTACCACTAAAGTCTAGTCCATCAAAATCACCATAACTAGTTGTATGGGCATCAAATGCCACTACACTTACCCACGATTTATGTCCATGACCACGAGCAACAACACGTTTCTCATGAAATGACCAGACTGTCACAAGATCATCTTCACCTCCCACTACTACATATTTACTATCTGGACTCCAACAGACACAAAGCAATCCTCCAAAATAACTACGAATAAAACCTACTAAATCCATGGTGTCATAATTAAAAACCCTCATAAAACCATCCTGACTAACTGTAGCTAAATATTTGGAACACGGAGAAAAGGCAAATTCATTCAGAGAACCTTCACCGATAACCCACCTATACAGTGGGTTTCGAGTACTTTTAGTTTTACATGTATACACAGCAAATCCTTCTCCTTGTTTGAATAATTGATAATGAGGCGTTGTTGTACCACATGGCAAATCCTCCTTATATACATACATCTGTCCACTGCTATGTGATACTAAAAACAGATTAGGTGATCCTGGTATCCACTTGAGGCAAGTAACTTTAGTTTTGTCTATTAGACGCTGTAAATATTTTAAAAAACATTAAATTATTTTTTTCATAAACTTATGTAAAAGATTAATAAATTATATATATATATATATATATATTACAACTTATAAAAAAATCACTTAAAAATAATAATTCATAATCATCTTCTAAATAAAAACAGTAAAACATTACAGTAAATTATCTTAGAATAATAAATTTCAAATGATTTCATTTTCAATCAAACAGAGAAGAAATAGTTAGTTCTATTTTTTGTATAAATATATTAGTATCAAAATTAATAACTATAAGCTAATATAATACAAGCTATGTAGTAGTCAAAGTGATTCTAAATAAATTAATAACTAATTATTATTTTAAATAACCACAAATAGATATAAATACCAATACACAAGTAAAAAATAAAAGTAATATAATGAAAACAAATGTTTTCTTCCGTTTTAAACAGTCATCCTCAGGTTTGAAGTACACAGATATAAATGAATGCATTTTTTTAAAAACACGTTCATTTATATCTGTGTTCTTTGAATCTGAAGATGAACTTTTCTTCCAGATATAAATGAATGTGTTTTTAAAAAAATGCATTCATTGACCACCCCTGTATCATTTCAATCTCTTCAAACTGACCATTCTTATCACAGAGTATCCCACAGAAATGTGCAGTGTGTTGATCATCTCTATAAATTGTATTTTAACAAACCTTGGTCTATGTGACTAAATGCAAAAACTTTTGTTTCTGAAATTGAAAATGTCTTGCAAATGAAAAAGTTTTAAATTTACAATATTTTTTCTGACAGCCTTAGAACTGCATAGAATTTGTTTACAATTTTTAATAAAACTTCATGTTTATTGTACTTTATGATTTAAAGTTATTATTCTCCTCTGTTCTTTGTCTTCAACTTCCTGTTTTGTGACTCCCTACTGTTATTTTGATGTCTGGAACTTGGAAGATTATAGAGTACAGGTATATCTCATATAACACGGTTCGAAAATTGGGGATATCCCCCGTAAAAGACAATTTCCAGTTCCTCTCTAACATGACTCGAGAATTTGGAAAATCCTCCGTACAAAATTTCACAATTTTTAAGTACAGACTCCGTTATTTTATATTTTTTCTTCAAGTAAGCATACATGTTGTCTCAAATTTGTCCACAGATCTTAGAATATCTTTACAATTTATTTTGTGCCTTTTGCCAGGTTTACTTTAATGAAAACTGATAGTGCAACTTTTTTCTTCCTTATCCTAGCTTTCATATCATCTGAGTGCTATCGCTGCTTTCAGACTTTACCCTTACTGCGTTTTGTTTTTATAGATTAACCTTTGTATTTAGTAGAGTTTATTTAAATATGTTTAGATAAGTTTTATTAAACTGTTTTTTAGCTGTAGGTAAGTGATCATTCATAAAAATGACACAAACAAAATACAGCAGTATCCAGGTACTCTAACTGTTCCCAACTCAAACAATTTGGTATTCCAACACAAATTCTGGGAAAAATAATTGCTCAGTACTCGACTAAATAAACGAGACTTGCTAGAACAAATTTTTGATTAATAATGTATTTTTATTTTTTCATTTACAAAAATTTTTTATGATAAAAAGCAATGAAGATATTGCTGATATTTCTGATTAAGATGAACATAAAAAATCAGAGTGCTTTTTATAACATTCTATGTAGTGAATGTCATGAAAAAGTCCAGTTTTGTCATGCCATCAACCTTGCTGAGTTTTACACATCCACAAAAAATCATGTTTAAGGGTGATCACAGACAAACACTTTTTGACATATTAAGAGCTTCACTTATGCTCTGCTCAATCATGTTTTACTTTGATATAATATGTGCTGATTTTAGTTATTTATCAAGAATTGTAATAGCGTAATTATACTTTAGAACACCAGAGAGTGAGAGACCAGTGAAAAATTCAATTACTGTACATTGAATGTTAGTTTCCTCTAGAAATAGAAACAGGACATCAAACTAAAAAAAAAAAAAAATCAAAGGAGCTAAGTTTAAAGGAGAAAGTAGAAGTTATAAAGTTTATGGATAACAGTAGTCAAAGGAAAGCTACAGACTATTTTAAAATAAGTAAAACAATTGTATTAAACATTTTAAAGTGAAAAGAAAAATACACAGAATATTGAAACAGAAAATGAAAACCTATTTTGAAAGCAAAAAACAAAACAACTATAAAATTAATGTAGCTACTTTAGGATGGTTTTAAAAAATGCACACTGTAAATGCACAAATACAGGGTGTCAAATAAGTTACTAACAATTTTGACTGAAAATTTAAAAAAATCAGGGATTTGTTGCATCAACATGAAACTTGATGAGAATACTATTGAGACCAAAGGTAATTAGTAGATGAGGTTTTTAAAGCGCTCTCCTTTGCAGGCAATACAGGACCATAATTGATGCTTGAAACCAGTGACCACATTCGCCAGAATTTCATCAGGAATGGCTCGAATCTCGGCTTTGGTAACGGATTCAAGCTGTTTGAGGTTGGTAATAGGGTTCCGATAAATCCTATCCTTGAGATATCCCGATAGGAAAAATCCATGGGATTGAGGTCCGAGGAATAAGGTGGCCACGAAATTCCTCTTCTGCTGCTTTCTGGGAACCCTTTAGCAATCACCCTTGACCCGAAATGTCATTGTAAGATGTTGAAGACATTTTCAGTTCGATGACAAGAAGCTTCAGTTTGTATGAACCACATTTTGTTGACACTATCCTCATTGTAGGCACTGGAAAGGAAGTGGTCAGTCAAAATGCCCTTGTAGACTTCACTGCTGCCTGTTGTGGTCATGAAATAAGGTTTGATAACAAAATCCTCACAAAGAGCTGCCCAAACAGTGAGTATCTTAGGAAAAAGACGCTTTGCAATGACAAACTTGGGCTTTTGGCTTCCCCAAAATCTGTGTTTGTCTGTTGATGTATCCATCAAAATGAAAATGAGCCTCGTCAGAAAACCACACGTTTTTCTAGTTGATTCCACCATTGTCAATTCTGTCTATGATTTCATTAGCGAAAGCCAATCTCCCCTCAATTGCTTCTTTACTCAGTGGTTAAGCGGTCTGAATCTTGTATAGGAAGAGGCGAAAGTCTTTTTTTGACAATTGTTCAGACTGTCTCATGGCTTGTTCCCAGGGCCGGATTTGAGGCGATTGGAACAATTCATGTCAATCAGGCCCAGCGCTTGAAGGGGCCCCGCAGGACATCAAAATTTATATATTTAAAAATAGTTTCAAATTACAGAATAGATTAAATAGTTTAGCAATCATGTCGATTGAGAGTCAAGAAATAAGCCAGTTGGGTTTTGATACTATTTTAGAAGATTTTACAGAACAAAAACTTCGGAACATATAAAACAACTCTTTATAGGTTTATATTCAATAAAATTCAGTTATATTCATTCATCAACACACCATAAATTTTTTGCCATGAAAAATCGTCTACAGTTATATTCATTTAAAAATATAGAAATACTAAAACATATCTATGTATGTTTATATTCAATAAAATGTAGTTGTATTTATATTTGGCACAGGTTTTTTAATGTAGAAATTTGCCTACCTTAAGGTTCATGACTTTTGATTTTTATAATTAAATTTTGAATTTTGTTTTNGTAAACATTAAAAAAAAAAACATAAAAGTGATGATTCATTTGTTCTAATACAAAATATGTATTCAAATATTTAGAGAAATTATTAGCGAAATGACATTTATTGCAGAATTTCAGGATTCAAATTAACTTGATTTTTATAATTAAATTTTGAATTTTGTTTTAAATAAATATTTAAAATCTATATTTCAATATGTAAATTAACTGTTAATTAATTTTGTTATTTAAAGTTTGAGAGACTCCACAAAAAACATTCAATTGGGCCTCACACCTATTGAATCTGGCCCTGCTCGTTCCTAACCTTTGGCCCAATTTTTAGACACTGATGTTTGAATCTTTATCAACTATGCCTTGATATTCCTCTCTGACCTTGATGACCTGTCCTGGCATCATCATCATCCTTTATGTTGCCTGTTCTCTCAAATTTCTTGATTAAATTGGTAACCACACCTTTTGTTGGCTTTGGCTTGTTTTTGAAAGTTGTTGACCACATCTGCAGTAGCACAGTGGGTTTTTCTTCACATCTGTACCAATGTTCAATAAAAAAGAATGCATTCATCTAGTGAATATTTGCTCATTTTTAAATTTTTCTAAAAATTGGCATGTCAACACTAAACAATTACCTTTGTTTACAAGATGGTGGCTGCAAGATATCAGCACCCTTGGATGGGTAGTTAAAAAGTTATCCTCAATCAAAGTTGTTAGAGACTTATTCGACACCCTGTATCCGTTTCAATGCTTCAAGAAATGGCAAAAATGTTTGCAACTGACTTTCATGTTGAAAAACTTGTTGCTTCAAGTCATTGATTAGAAAAGTTTAAGACATGGAACAGACGATTGCAAAAAGTTTTGTGTGGCTAAGCCAATGAAACTGACATAGAAGCAGAATATGAATTTAGGACTAAATTTTTCCAATTTTTATCAGGATTTAAGGAGAAAGACATTTTCCCCCATCAGAATCAGGGCTTTAAAATCAGTAGAAAAGGGTCCCAATTCTGACTCATAAAATTTTAGAGTCCAACTCCTGCCTCTAAATAATAATTTAAAATACACTGTAGTTTGATTACATTAACCCAAATGGCATTTTATCATTATCAAATGAATCATAAAGATACTTTTTAAGCATTTTTTTTAAGTGAATCACCTAGAATTCCTATCAAAATTGTAAGTACTTATCTTTTTTCATAAAGTTTTTCATTATCACCATTATCATCTTTAACTTCAATCATATATTGACACAAAATGCTTCCCATCTGTGGTTATAATAAAGTATTCAAAAACAATAAATTTAACCTGAGTTTTCTTAGCCATTTTGTATGGTTGGTTGACAATAAAAATTTAGAATTAGCTAACACAGAATATATTTGAATATAACTTTCTGAAAAGGAAATC